GGTTGCTGTGAGCTGTAATGCCACGGCACTCTACCCAGGGGGACAGCTTGAGGCTCTGTCTCAAAAAAAAATAAAATAAAATAAAATAAAATAAAATACTGAATTTTAGAGTGAAAAAAACAGCTAAAGTCATCACTGTTAACACAGCACCCCAATTTCATGATTGTTTTTGAACTTGGAATCGTACCTATATGGGCAGATCTTTTGAGATGTTCTATACAAATTAATCTTTCTGGTTTCTACAGGAGGGAGTTATCAGGGCGTCCACGTCTTTGGGCAGCTTTTCCCACAATGGGGCTGGTTCTCTGCTCTTTCTCCGAGCAGCAGAGAAGCTGCTCCTCCCTTACTTTCCCCAACATGGCCCCTCTCTCATCGATGAGAGAGACTGCTTAGAAGGAGTGATGTCCATTTAAACACCCTGGAGAAGACGGTCCTGGACTTGGACTCACATGCACCAGCAGGCTGCACTCCTGGCCTTGCCGGGTCACAGATAAGGCTGCAAGCACCTCACCTTGTGCTGGCTGGATCAGTCACCTCATGAAAGCTGGTACATCCCCTGTGTGCACAGGTGTCCCCCGTGGCACCCATGGGCAGTGCTTGTGGCCAGCGTTGGGCCCCCTACCTGTACGCAATCCAGTCCGCACTCTCCTCAGGGGGCTCAGGCACATAGCCAGCTGCATGCTGGCTCAAGTCCTCAGCAGGGACAGGCTGCTCATTCAGCTCCACACCTTCTGACCGCAGAAAATGGACAGTGGCCTGCAGAGGGAAGTGTGCAGCAGGCTGGGGCACAGGCAGAGCTCAAACCCTATCTAGGTGGGGACACACTGCCAAGGGCTTTCCCTTCAGCTTTCGGTTTGCAAATGGTGAACCCAAAGCAGAAACTTGCATGGAGACCTCAGGCAGCCACTGTCCGCCCCACAGCCATCCCAGGGTCATGGTGAGGAAACCATGCACAGGCTGAGTCTTCACCCACAGACCTGTACACCAGAAGCACAACATGCAGCCCGTCACCCCCAAGGAGGGACAGCAGCTTCCTGTCACTGTCACACATGCGGGAAGAACCCGAGCCCCCTGCCTGCTCAGGAGTCGGCCCACTGGGGACAGGCCAGCAGGGACTCATGGGAAGGGGGTAGGCAGCCCCAGGTGTGGGTAAGTGCCCGTGGCCACCCCATGGCCAGGACCACCTTATTTCTATCTTCCTCAGCCAACTCCACCCCATCAGACGTCTGGTCAGCGGTCCAGACAGCTGTGTCCCTGGCTCATGCACAGCCAGGCATTCTTGACATTGCCAGCTAGTACTCCAGCCTCTAGGGCTTACAGTCACCTATTGAGCACTGTCCCAGACTACACAGCATCCCAAGTGTCACCCCTGGTATTGGCATGGATGCAGGGCTGGGAGCTCAGGCCGGGGGCCTGGAGTCAGGATTTGGTCTGGCTTGGCCACTTTTACCTGCTTACTGGTGTGGGGCGAGCCAGTATCTTGGTGCCATGTAAGTGTGGGAAGGGCCTGCTGGGGCTGGGGCTGTCAGTCCAGGCCCAGGCCTTGGGCCCTATCTACACCACACCTTATCCAAAGTGCTTCTGAAGTCTACCCTAAATTAAATATCCCCAGAAGAATCATAATGGCCTGGCATATCTGTGTAACCTTGATTCACAGTTCAGAAATTACAGCAGAACCCCCACAGTTGGCCACCTCACTACAGTGAGCACTTCCCAGGGTGACTCAATGTTCATCAACTGGACATGCACCACCCTGTGTCAGTAGAGTCAGCCCAGTTCCTTATGGGACCACCTCCATATGGTGACCAGTGTGTGACAATCCTTGGGTGGTCAACTCACGGAGGTTCTACTGTTCCTAACAAAAAGCTAAGATCCATAGGTGCTGAGACATCTGGTGTCCACTTTTCTCCTAGCAAACGTCCCAGGGATGCAGGAAGCCTCCCTCCCTAACATGCTACGCTGAAGCACATAGGTGGGGCCGCAGTGCTCAGGTAAGAACAGGCACCCAGAGTGTGGGGGTCATGATGGGCCTGTGCCCACGATGCAGGACGCACCTCGGCGCTGATGAACCCCACCTCCGCGATGCTGCGCAGCAGGTCAGGGTGCAACTGCCTCTGCGGGGGGCTCTCTGGCTGGTCCCAGAAGTCCTGCACAGAGACATCGCCACCTCGCTTCTTCTTTCCTGAGGAAAACCGCAGTCAGTGAAAGTGGCGTGTTTTCTAGCAACAAAAACCAAGAATTCCTGGCAAACTTCTGACCCCTGAGCTTCTCTGAAGCTCTTGAGGGCCATGCACTGGGGCTCAGGGAGGTGGGCATGGGCCCAGGAAGGGCCAGAGGAGCTCATCTGTGGCCAATGTCCCTGAAGACACTCCTGGTGTGGCTAGCATGGTCCCCTCAGCTTGGCCGGTGTGGTACCCCTGGCTTGGGGAAGCACTGGCCTGAGAAACCTGCTCCCACCCATCCCCACTGCCTACTGGGGGCCCCTCCCTCCCTACTCATACATCATATAGGGTCCCACATCCTCCATGCCTGCTCTGTCTCCTGTCTCCCTTGGTGCATCCGTGCATCCTGGGTGCTGACCACCTGGCCTGGGCTCTGCCCTCCACCCACTGTGCTGCCCCAGTCTGAGCCCCAAAGACCATCTAAGTAACTGAAGGTCTAATGTCATGACAGTGCTAGTAGGTCCCTGGCACACAGCCAGCCAGCAGCTGCCTGTGACAGGTGCTGTGAATGGTAGTGACTGTGCTGTCTTGCTAGCACCATGAGCAGTACCTTGGGTTAGCCGCAAACATTTAGAGATACCATTCTCTATTTGAAGGCTCCCGTGGACACAAGCACCAGCCCCATCCTGCTTGCCTGGCAGTGAGGGTTGGGAGGCCTCACTAGGGGCTGCATACCCTTCCTCGTCCTCGTCTGAGACTTCCTCATCTTGATGTTGTCATACAGAAGGCAGAAGCGGCTCGCCGTCCTACAGACGTCCCATACACCCTGCTTCCGTGCAACTTTGGCCAGCTCGGCCCAAATCTGTATTCTGCTCCCCGGAGACCCAAAGGAGGGGGAAAATTGAATATGGAGATAGTTGAAATAATCAGAAAAGACCTAGAATGACCACTTATGAGAAAAAGTCATTAGCAGTTCTATAGTTTCACAGCTGAAAAGAGTGACCATGAGACAAATCGATGCTCATGGCAAATGATGACCCTGGGTGGGGGGTGTCCTGGAATGAGGGGCAGTTCTCTGGTCATACCTGCCAAGTGTCAGTGGTACCTCCTGATCATGTGACAGTGAGAAATGCCACCCGCACATCATCTCCAGGGTCGGGGCAGGGAGGACCTCTCCAGGACCCCTCCAAAGTCAGGATGCTCTGCTCACTGAGTCCTGACCACTGCATGCAGGGCCTGGCACTATGCGCCTTACTAGGTAGACTAGCACCAGTATCAACAGTAGCCGAGCCCTCCAAGGCCAGGGCTTATCCTTCCCGTGAAGAAGAAGGTCTCAGCAGCCTATGGCCCCTCCTCCCATCTGGAGCGGGCGGCTTAGCACACTTCCTGACAACTGCGCCCCAACCCTCTTTGCAGGGCTCACCTTTGCTTCTGTTTTGTCTTTTTTGTTGTTTGTTTTGTTTCTTAACCAGAAAAGGACCTTCTCCTTACTCACCTCTCACCCTCGTTCTCATTCCCCAAGCGCCGTAAGTGCCCAACAGCTTTGTCCACGCTGACGATGTAGTGACGTGCCTTTGCAGCAAGGAAGCTGAACCGGCCCTTACTCTTCCCGGCAGAAACTGAGAACAGAAAATGGAAACAGGTGCTGTCGCTGTGTGGGAGGGGCTGGAGACACGAGGCCCCCAGCTCTATTCACAAGGATGGTCCCAACCACAGTTACCGGCTGTCCCCTATAGAGCTAAAACTGGCCTTGCTCACGCCTCTGATCCCAAAGAGGCTGAGCTCATTGCACCAGGGGCAAGGCTGTGTAGCCTGTCCTTGTGCTGACCCCAGCACAGGAGACCCCAGCAGGAGGGGTCACTTGACAAGATCCAACTTGAGGTACCAAGTCAAGGGATGCTCCCAGCAGCCCCACGGCCTCTGCAGGTATGTGCCAGGCCCCAGGCCTCAGTGGTACCTGCTTAGTGAATAAAATGTGCCAAGAAAGCAAAACACGCATGTCCAGCAGGCACTCCTCAAACTCCTTAGGACAAAATGAAACCAAGAACAAGAGCATGGGAGATAACAGAGCAAGACAGACAACAGGGCGTGGGCACCTGCCACGGCCACTGCCAAGAGCTGCTGCATCTGTGCCCTTCACAGAATGAGCTGGTGCCGCCGTGTCTGCCTCTCATCTTGTCCCAACATGAATGTGGCCTCCAGTCTGTGTGACACTTGGCATCAGGTTGGGTGAGAGCTGCCAGCCGCTAGCACCAAGCTGGAAGGACATCTTGCAGTGGCCTTGGCCAGACCCCAGGTAGACGAGGGAGAGTGCGTGGGAGCAGACCGACGTCCAGCCACCCAGAGCTGCTGTGGGCTGACCTGAGTCCCCTCAAATAAGACATCCTGAAGTCCTAACCTCCAGGACTTTGGAACATAAAATTATATGGAGACTAGGTAATTAGGTAATTAGACTAGGTAATTAAGGAAAATGAGGCCACTTGGTGGACCCTCATCCAGCCTGCCTCGTGTCTATGCAGAAGAGGAGACCAGGACACAGGTAGACACCGAGGGACGCCAGCACAGCACCAGGGAAGCAGCAGCATCTGCAGCCAGGGAGAACGCACTCAGCCAAGCCAAACCCTCCAGCACCCTGGCCTCAGCCTGGGAGGAAATGAGTTCTTGTTTCTGCTACCCAGTCTGTGGCCTCTGTCATGGCAGCCTGAGCCACTGGGGAGACGAGCACCCTCCCCAGCGTCCAGACCACAGCAGTGATATATGGGGCACAGCATGGCCCCAGCCCTATGAGGGGTCTGCCTCCAGCAGCACAAGGCCCTAGGTGGCTCCAAGAAGTGCAGCTAGTTCCCAGGCAGAGCTGCTCTGGGCTCAGGCACTCACCTTTGGCCTCATTCTCACTGTCCAGCACAATCTGAAACGTGTCCGGGGCTAAGGCCAGGCCCGCGTTCACCAGGAGGGCCCGCTTTTTCCTGACGCTATCTTTTGGGATGGCTTTTTTTGCCTGTGGGAAGGAGAGGGTGACCAGCAAGTTGGCACTTGGCAGAGCAGCACCCTCTGATCCTTCTGAGAATGTTGCTGGGCGCTGCGCAGACAGCTGCACTGTCCCAGGCCTCCTGGCCTCAGGTGCCCTGGGCAGCTCCCTCTACGCTGCACCTCTCAGAGCCCAGCTGGGACCCCATGGGTTCCATGCCATCCTGGGTCTCCCATGGCTACCCTGCAGCCCTCCTCAGGGCCTAGCTCCCCTGGCCAGCTACACTGGCACCTGCTCGATGGCCATGGTGGCCCTGTCCTCGTCACGCTCAGGGACCTGGTACAGCATGGTGCACAGGTGCAGCCGGCTGAAGGCCATCTGCAGTTTGTCCTGGTAAAGGCCCATGCTGTCCAGGTGCATGGCCTTCAGCAGGTGCTCCATGGCGGGCTCTGGCCGGTCCTGGTCCTCCTCAATGTGTGCCACCTCCATGTGCACTTGGCATCGCAGTAGCGTCATGAGGCTGTGGCAACAGATAGAGCATCAGAGGGCTGGGGGTAGGGATGGGTGTCTGGGGAGGAGTCTGGGGAGGGGCAAGGAGGAGCTGGGGAGGGGCTGGGATAGGAAAGAGGGAAGAGCCAGGGTCTGGGGGAGGGGCCCTGGATGGGGGGGCAGGGCGGGGCCAAGGAGGGGTCAGGGGAGAAGCCAGGGAGGGGCTGGAGAAGGGTGAAAGAGGGTGGGGGAGGGGCAGGGGAGGGCTCGGAGCAGGGTGGAGCTGTGGCCCTGTCCCTGACCCCCCAGCATCTTTCTGGGGACACTCTCTCCTCACTTGAGACCCACAGATGGTGACAGAGGGCCTCACAGACCACTGGAGACACCAGCCCAGCTGACTGGAGCTGGCCCCAGGCACCTAGCCCAGCAGTAGCAGTAGCCTAGCAGGGTGGCTGGAGGGAAGAGCCCTGCACTGTCCATTGCTTGCTGCCCCTGTCCCCCAGTGCCCCAACCCCCCGTAAAGCCACCCACTCTCCAGGAAGGCTCTCGCAAGGCTGTGGGGCGAGTCCAGAGCAGCTCCACGGCCCCAGCCCAAGCTCCAGCCTGGAGCCCACGATCTTTGCCATGGAGCCGTAGTCTCACCACTCTCTCCTCCCTCTCTCTTGGCCCTTCTGCCCAGGTCCTTTCTGGACAATGTGCCACTGGCTCAGAACAGTGACCACACCCTGGGCCACTCTGCTGAAATCTCATGGGGTTGGGCAGGGCGGGAGGGTCCACATATGAGGGTCCACATATGTCCTTTCCCTGGACACATCCCAGCCAAAGCCGCCAGATAGAACATGAACAAATCCAGCTAGTTCTGTTGAATATTCTGTAGGACTCAAGAACTTAATGACTTTCAGCCCAAACAAAGAATAAAAGTCACCTTAGCACACACATCACCTCCAGAAAACAAGAGCACAGCCGGAATACAAGGAGCCCTTGGGGCCAGCATCCCCACAGCACCACGGAGGGGTAGGGCCTGGAGGGTCCTGGCCAGAGCCCAGGTGGGGGCCATGGTCAACTGGGCAAGAACAAACCCCTTTCCTGTGGCGCAGTCAGTGTACATGGAGGGATATTGGAGACGCAGCCCGAGACTGTGCCTGCCCAGATGTGAGGGTTTGAGAGGTGGCCAAGCCCAGGAGAGTAGGCTGGAGTGAATGGAGCCACCAAAGAGAGGAAGGCCCAAGGGAGTAAGCCTGCATCAAGAATAGACATAGAGAACTACTCGAGGACACCACAGTGGCCCCACAAGCAGCTGACAACGTTCAGACACATTGTCTGCAGGCTCTTCCTGCCTTTAACTGATGCAATATCTCATGCTGGACGCCCTGCAACCATGACACCTGCAGATGGGACTAGCATCACATGCTGGGCAGCTTGAGACAGCAGCCCCTGGAAGAAGCAAACTCAGGCATCATGCCTGCGGCTTCCCAGGTCTCTGCTAGGGAGAGCTTCCTGATGGAGGCCCTGCAGCTTAGGGGAGTGCTGGCCTAAGGCTCCCAGGCACTGAGGAAGAGGCCATGCACAGATCCCCCAAGAGTCCACTGCCAAGGGCTAGGCTGCCTGTGTGCAGGGTGAGACCAGGGAGCTCCCCAGAGCATGATGACCCTGGGGTCAAGAAGCAAATAGGTGACACCAGACATGAAGGGGCCACACCATGCTGTGGGGAGCTGCGACTCTGCCAGCAGCATGGGGACCTAGCAAGCAGCTCACTGACATCGATCCCTGGTGGACACAGCAAAAGTGTCTCACTCCAGGAATAAGTGCCCTATCTGCTCCCCTTGCCCAAACAAAACCTAAAGTCAAAGCCTGATGAGATCCATGGGCAAGATCGTGTTTGGAGGTTGACTTTCATTAAGATGGACTTGGGGAGCGCCTGAACCTCCAAAGGTACACCCCAAAAGAATGTAAAAACCAGCCTTATGTGACTTTAAAACAGTCAGCCTATAACTGAAATTCCTGCTAGAACAAAAGTCAACACTTTTCTAAAAAAAGACAACAAAGTGCGAAGACTCCCTAGTGTATCGTCCACGACACTCAGTGACAGTAAAATATCACTAGACACAGAAGGAGACGGGAGCGCAGCCCAGGATCAGGATGCACGGTGAGCCAGCTGTGGGGCTTAGCAAATAAATCCCGTGAAGCAGACACTACACTATAAACATCATAACTATGTTCAAAATTTGCAAGAAAACAAAGTATTAATGAGTAAACAGAGAATCTCAGGGGAAATGAAACTGAAAAGAAAATAAAGATACTAAAACTAAAAACTATAATAACTGAAATGGAAAAAACAATCTCTGGTTAAGTAACAACAGATTAGAGTGAGCAGACCTGAAAACAGGTCCATAGAAAGTGCCCAGTCAAAGAACAGACAGCAAAACATTCTTAAAAATCTGCACAAACCTGGGGACCCAGGCGGCAACCAGCACACTTGACGCTAGAGCCCCGTATCTGACGAAAACACCAATTTACACATCTAAGCATCTTAGATAACTCTAAGTAGAATTTTTTTAAGGCTCCTAGGAATATCATAATCCAAACACTGAAAACAAAAGTTAGAGAGAGAAATTTTAAGAGGAAAAAGGAAAAGACACAGATTTCATACAGGGGCAGCACATTCAGCGTAACTTGAGTCTTCAGCAGAAATCCGCCAAACAACAATGATGGCTGCAACTGAAAAAAATTAGCCATATTAAGGTTGTGGCGGGGGCCTGTGGTCCCAGCAACTTGGGAGGCAGAGGCAGGAGACTCGCTTGAGCCCAGGAGTTGGAGGTTGCTGTGAGCTGTGATGCAATGGCACTCTACCCAGGGGGACAGCTTGAGGCTCTGTCTCAAAAAAAAAAAGAAAGAAAGAAAATAAACCACCTCCTCAAAGAAGAGAAACACCTGTCAGCCCAACACCCAATAACTAGTGCAGAAAAACTCTTCAAAAAAGAGGGCAGGTCACCGAGCAGTGCTAGCATCAAACACAACACACAGTGATGTGGAGCCCTCGTCAGAGCAGCGCTTCTCGGAGCAGCACCTCTTAAAGCAGCACCTGTCTGGACAGCACCTCTTAGAGCAGCACCTGTGAGGACAGCACCTCTCAGGGCAGCACCTGTCAGGACAGCACCTCTCAGGGCAGCACCTGTCAGGACAGCACCTCTCAGGGCAGCACCTGTCAGGACAGCACCTCTCAGGGCAGCACCTCTCAGAGCAGTGCCTCTCGGAGCAGCACCTCTTAGAGCAGCACCTGTCAGGACAGCACCTCTCAGAGCAGCACCTCTCAGAGCAGTGCCTCTCGGAGCAGCACCTCTTAGAGCAGCACCTGTCAGGACAGCACCTCTCAGAGCAGCACCTCTCAGAGCAGCACCT